GATGTCCCGCCCACCTCTACGGACTTTGCCCTGCCGAATTTCCTTGACATGCGCCTCCTTCTGGCCTTAATGGCGGAGTTTAGGATTTGAAAGTAGCTCATTAGAATCAAGGCAGAGTGAGAGTGGTCACTGTTGCCGGGACCAAGAAAAAAAAACAAGAGAAACGGACCAGAACTAGGGAAATGAGACCGCCTTCTTTGCCCGTTGATTGCCGCATTGATGCGAGTCTTTTCGCGATGCCACTCTCTTCAACGCTAACGCTCTTTCTGCTAAACGGCTAGAGAATTGTGGCGAGTGCCAGCGGTAGACGTACCGTGCCAATAGCGCAGCGGAGAGGGCCCATGCTAGAGTACAGGAGGCATATCCTTTGGGGCGAATTTCGTGTGCTCGCACACTTAGAGGGTCTCGCCTGTCTTTCCTTCACGTAAGTTTTGTCTTTTTCGAAGTTATCGTGAAATCCTATTTATCCGTTCAACATGCTTCGATTTTCATCACTGCAAAACGGACTGCTTATATCTCGCAACATCACCAACACCACCAAAAACACTAACATTTTTAACAACGGACATTCAAATGTGTTCGGTACTGTTCGTTTAAGTAATAAGCTCGACACATAGCCGTTTGCAAGTGAAGTGCGCTCCGCTAAGGCAGCACTGACCACTGCCTCTAGGCGCTACTATAGTCGTTACGGGTCAAGAAATTAGCAACTCACTCACCATCAGACACTACATCTCGCCGTCGTTGGGGATCAAGGACATGACCAGGGTAAAACATGGTTTATCCGAAACTTAGGGCGGAAGTGGTGCAGTGGCAAGTGGCACCCTTACCACGCGAGTGGCCCGAGGATCCAATCCTTCGCCGTCGTGGATCGCCCGGGCCAACCAAGCCTTCCAGCGTTCGATGTCGCTCAGCGCTTGGTACCAGACTAGTTTGTGGGTGATAAAAAACACTGACTTGTACATCGGCTGGCCCCCGCAAGTCATTGTATAGGCCACATCGCATTCAAACGCCACTACGAATGTACAAATGGAAGTAGAATGCGTGCCGCATCCCAAAAAGGGATTGATCAACGGCAAATGCTTTATCCTTTTTTTTTCCTTTTATCCGAAACTTCCCATTATGATCCTCACAATTCCTCACCGCATTCCTTCCACATAATGAAACCTCATACCCGAAACGTTCCTTCAGTAGAAGTAAAGGTGGGACGGGGAAAGAAGGATGAGTCACCTTGCCACACACTTTAGAACAACTTACTTCCCGCAAGAAGACGAGGTATGCAAATGTTCCACAGCAATCCGTCCCCAGACGAGCGTTCAAGCCCCTGCTATCTGTCCTCACCCGTTTTCAAAATAATTAAGCCATTACGGACGAGCTCCATGAAGTATGTAATTAAACTATCGATTTAAACTTTTGGTGCCGCTCTGTATTTTACCACATTTAGGTCCTGATGAAGCTCTTAGGCTGGTGTCAGAGTCCGCGATCCGTCGCAGGTTTCGCTGATTTTCGCGATTTGCGCGATTTTCGCGATTTGCGCGAAACCTGCGACGGGATCGCAAAAATTGCAAGTGCCCCATTTGAACATTTGAAACACTGAATATGAAACAAGTGGAATCATGAGCAGTCGTCATTCAGCCATCACTATCAAGCAGAAGGGGCGGCGCGCGTGAATCGCGCAAATCGGAAATAAGCAGAACCTGCGACGGGTCGCGGACTCTGACACCAGCCTAAGAGCTTCATCAGGACCTAAATGTGGTAAAATACAGAGCGGCACCAAAAGTTTAAATCGATAGTTTAATTACATACTAAACAGAATGATTACGTTGTACATCGGCGGGATCCCGCAGTCCACGAACTGTTGAACACATTCAAATGCCGCTACTTCTATGTGAAATTGAGATGCGTGGCGCATCCCAAAAGAAGATTTGTCAGTGCCAACAGTTTCGCTCTCTCTGCTACAATAAAATCCCCAAATTTCAGTGAGAAAATCAAGACAATAATTTATTTATTTTCAGCAGATTTTCTGAAATATAGCGCCAGTGAAGAAGATTTTCCGCGTAATCCCCTGATCGGATTACCCCACCGCTCCTCTTCATACACCCAACAGCTGATCTTCGCAGGCACCTATCGCGGGACTTGTTTATTATCACTAGGATAGGCTAAAAATAACTTCGGGTATATTTTGGTATCAAATTGGTTGAACGTTTGAGTAATACAGGAAAGTTGCTCATGTGGGCAGAATGCGTGAAAATCCCTTATTTTCGACCTGACACGTCGCTACTGAGATTCGCGGGCCACTATCAAGGAATCCGGATGTTTGGGGACAGCGTTCGGGGGAGATTCAGGACGTCAGAGAGGGCGCGGAAGGTGCAATGAGTGACGCAACGTCCTGGGTTTGAAGAGATGATTGGCTGCACTCATAAATACTACGGCCATGCAAAGCTTCAGTTTGTCAGCGATTGCGATTAAAAGAGAAAGAATAAAGCGTAACTGGTAGCGCACTTGCCCGGAAAGCGAGAGGTGCGGGTTCTAGTCCCGCCTGGGGCGAAAGTTTTGTTCACAACCCAGCATTCTTGTGAAAAAGCGCTGAGCGATGATCTATTCCAACCGGACACACCCTAGAACCGACCTCTTTTCAGAATTTGGTGTGATTTCCAGCCCGATCAACAGGTCAGCAATTCGATGCCACACGTAATACCTGCAGAAAATATTGGGGGACCATCAAAAATAATCGAATACTAAACATAACGCATTGAACCCATTAACGTATCCATGACAAAGGTTTTTGTACTTCAGATGCGTGCGGTCGTGTCACAACCACCACTCGAATGAAGCCAAGAATCACTCGAAAGCCTGGCAGAAATCAGAACAAGAAAAGTCTAATCCCGTCGTGGATTAAGGGCCCAACTTGTTATTGGCAAGTCTGGTCTTTTCACATTACAGTGTAGGTGTGCAGCTTGGAACATCAACATCGTTGGTAACTTCATCTGCATCATCCATCACACTTTCTGCCTTCATATGTATTCGTTACAGGACCCGTGGACGCGTGAGCACGCGGCTCCCTCGTTTCACGGACGCTCTGCGACCGCTCGCTGTCGACGTCTCCTGTTTAGCCGTGATGTCTCGCCGGCCGATTCCTGTTCAGGTCTGCCATCACCGGCGTCCATCGCCAGTTTTCATTTCTCTGCGTCTCTCGTTTTGCCAAAGGTCTATCGTCGTGTCTAGCATCTTTGTCGTTGGCTTGCGCTAACCGCTGTCTGCTGCGCTTTCCTACATCCATTTTTTATTGTTTTATTTCTTAGAATAATAATTAAAGACAGTTCTTGGTGTCATTCTGTCGCCGATACGCTGTTCTACTTGGAGATATTTGGCATTTTCCGGAAACTTTTAGAAAACCGCTCAAAACAACGTAATTTCGAACGCGGCCATGGCGCGTATGGTGTTTCACATTTTAAGGGATTTTCACAATGATTCTTTTTGAAATTTTCGAAGAGTTTCTTATTTTTCTAGCTTAACTGATCGGCCGTTCCACCAACTCTTTTCGTGATTTGCCAATTTCTCATGCAGCAGCCCTGGTATAATTCATTTTACAAGGTTCGCCCACGCGAACGCGCTTGGGGCATGGTAATCATGGAGAAGTCGGTGTCAGTCGTTCTTCTCTTAGCGATGAAGCACTGTGATTTCAGTGATCGGAGATCGGAATGTAACATTGATAACGTCATATTTTTGACGAAATTTGATCATTTCAGAATGTCAAATGACCCCAATATCGACCCTGGAGGGCAATCGTTGGAGGCGTCCAGTGTGGATGCCTTCTTCCCTGACCATGGTCAACCGGGGCCAAGTACTGATGTGGTCACACAGCCACAAGGTCCTTTTCCACAATACATGGTAACAGATGATAATATGTGGATACAACCGCTAACGGATCAGGTTTATGAGGACGAATATGGGAATTATCATGAAATACATGATATTGAGCAGGTACAGCGGTTCAAATGAACCTTTCCAGTGTACAGTTTTCCATGCTTTTTTCTTTATTATTCTAAGTTGGTCCAAACATTCCCTTTTTACAGCAGCCTGATCACATCGAAGAAGTCTATCTGCTCCCTGATGAAGAACGAGATATTGAAATGATGAGAAACGGCGTCGGAAGTCTCCAAGTTGCTGCTCATGAAGTTGTTGTTGACGAGATGTTAGGAACTTCTGTAGAACCTGAGCAATATATGCAGCAAGTGCCCACACAAGTCGTTAGGGGATTTCCTCAGCAGTACGTGCAGACTGTACCACGACATGTTGTGCGTCCATCACAGCCTCAGACGATTATGTCGAATGCTGGTCAAAATCGGGTACGATATATCGTTCAACATACGTCTCAAACAGTGGAAGTACAGCAAAGTCAGTCCGTGTACGAAATGAGGCCGATGGCGATGTTCGAGGGACCCTCAAATCAGGCTTTAATACCACACCAACAGCAGCAAGTTAGCCGACCTGTCCCAAGTATGCGGTCAAGATCTAAATCGCAACCTCGGCGACCGTTATATGGAGAGCTCGAGGATGAGTCGCTTGCATATTTGGTCCAGGTTCGTTCAGTTTCCTCGACTGTGAACGTTTACAATAGCTTTTCATTATCAATGATCCCTGTAGGAGCATGATGAAAACGAATGGGATGGTGTGCAGTTGGAGGATCACGAGTACTTTGTTGGAGGACAGCAAGAACGAGAGGCGATTTTGAACTCGAACGAGGATGAGCTCGCTCAGTCGGCTGTACCACCGCCGAAAACTATTCAACGTCGTGAGTACACGATTCTTATGGTTATATTCATGATCTTTTTAATACCTTCACAGGAGTGCCAAAATCATATGAGTAGGGTCATCGTTGAGCTTTTCATTTATTCTGTGCGCTATGAAATCAGAGTAAGCTAGGTAAATTTCTTTGTGTTTTCGGGGCCGCAGTAAAATTCATAGATTTCTCAACTGTAGTGGATTCTACTAACAAGAGTCCTGTTTCTCAATATCAAAAGACGCTCATGCCTTGGGGAAGGGGACATTCAATGAGGGTTGGTGTAAATGACACTGACAATAAGACTAAGTAGAGAAGAGAGGAGAAACGCGGGAGAACCCCAATAATAATCCCTTCCTCTCTCTAGGCTTAGTTCCAAGGATTGTAGTGGCTTCTTCACTTGAATGTCCCCCTCCTCCCAACGACATGATGGTCTCAAAAAGTAATTTGTGGACGAGTTTGGAAACAACCAAGCAATCCCACGCCTGTTAGAAAGCTGGGCGCAATGTGGTTCCGGGGGGGGGGGGGCAGTCGCCGCGCGCGGCTCAGCGATGTAGTGTAACTCGAACATTCCAGCTTCTCACGCATGTCAAGTGACTGCCCTCACCCCCACCCCCCTGAATTGGCTACATTCCCCCTGGCTCACGAATTTCCTGTTGCCGCAACGCCGCGCGCGGCGCCCCCCCCCCCGAGCCACATTGCACCAAAAGCAGTTATTTGAGGAGGAAGATTCAGCTTTCCAGCAAATGATAGAGATGCTTGTCCCTTGTACATCTTTTTCAGCTGATTTGTTGACTAACTTTTCTTTCGTTTCAGCATATTTTCCGCCAAATCTGTCGCCTACAGAGAAGAAAGAATATTTGTTCGTCAATTATAAAAAGGCTTGCGATCGGTACTTCCCATTCGCGAACGTCGCTGTACTGGAAGCGGACACGAGATATAAGCCAGTTGAAGCGTTTGCCAGCGATTTATATCGGTTTCATTCGAGAGGAGCTCATATTCATGGATTCTTCCGAACGGTTATCGATGTGCGGGATCGTCCCAGTCATGGTGGGTGTGTATGGATATTTATTCAATATAAAATAGAATATGATGTCTGCCATTGCAGCCACTTCTATCGTAGTTTACTTATGTGAAAGCATGTTTCATACAATTACCAAGAATTGAGTGATTACTCCAAGGCTCGTGTCTGGCCTGTATATCGGCTGGAGACGTGTAACATTGGATTCGCAAAGCTATTTGTTACATCTGAAGTGGTCGCGTTATAGTCTGAAAGGCACTCAAAGATGCATTGAAATGATATGTAATGAAAAAGCTACCATTTTTTGACAATGAAGGTTAATTGAAATAATTCAATGCCAAAATTGACTGTATAATTGTGTTTCAGATCAAACGCGATATATCCAGGACATCCAGTTTGGGAAAGTATTTCCTCTTTTCCCGGACTACGACGAGTAAGCGGCGTTACGTTTTCTTTTAAATTTCTAGCAGTTTTAATGCTTTTTCTTCAGATGGGATGATAAAATGCGTGATGAGTTTCGTCAGTTGTCGAATCGGCTGATGCGAATCTTTGAACGAAAGTGGTACGCTTCTCTTTCCTTTTTTGCGATGTTTACTTTTGCGTTTCGGATGTTTTTATTTCTATTTTTCTCAGCTTTTATGCGCAGTCTGGTGGTACTCATGGAAAAGCGCCGGTCATCAGGCCAGGTCCGAAGTCGAATCCGAAACCTCCACCAGATTATGCTGAACAGCAGAGGGTTCAGGTGACGGTAAGCTTTCAGTTATTTTACTAAATCTCATGGCAGTACGCAGTGAGATCATGAAACGTTACAGGGAATACCGAAAGGTTTCCATCCTGTAAGGGCGTCCTACACCCAGACGAAACCAGGTCCTACAAAACATTCACTGCCTGCGGTTGCTGCTGTTGTGCATCCGGCTTCATCTTCTACTAGGCTAACGCCATTGGATGACGACACTGCTCTGAATGAGGTAACCTTTTGATTGCAGTGTTGTCCATATTGATAAGTAAGTGCATGGAACAAATCAAGTTATAAAGTAAGGTTTTTGTAGCCAGTTCCTGTACCGCAAGACGTTGGAGCTTCTCGAGTTGAGGCATTCGAGCACAATAGAAGGGTAGGTATTAAGCGGATCGTGAACGAAGCATTTGGTAATCGTGAGCCGGCCTCGTCACAGTATCAGGTAAGGACAAGATTCTCGCTTGCGCTTTTTAATCCCTCTGTTTAGCCTATTATTTATATATGTATAATATCAGACGTTTCAGGAGCAACAGTCGTTCGGATCGTCAGATCCACGCTCTTACGTTTGTCGGGTGCCACCAGGGCCTTCCAAGTATGTGTAACTAATCTCTTAGACAACATGATTTAGTGCTTTTAGATTGATTGATTTTCTCGAAAGGCATGAGGATATGCTAGTGATTAGGGATCAAAGATATTGGGTATAAAGAATGGATGTGTTTTACAGGACCCTTCGACATCAAAGATCAATCGCATCGAAAGCGATACGTATGATAGCGAACAGAACGATCGAGGTAAGGCAACACCTCTCTGGTTCTTTTTTGTCTTAAACATTCATGTTCAGCCAGTATTTGATCCTGCGACTGGTCGCTACGTTGTTCCACTTGAAGGTCTGCGCAGTCAAGGTATCACAACACTTCCACCTGTTGAAACAACGAGGAGGTGAGTTCTTTGGTTGCGTCTGTGTCGTTCACTCTTCTGATCTTATCACCATCTTCAGATACATTCCACGTCCGGTACATACTCTTCGAGAAATGGCCGATTCTGCCAGGAGAGGCCCTAGCGCTTCTGTTCGGCCAATATGGAGTGCAGCTGGGCGACCACAAGGAGCACGAGTGTCGAGAATCGATCAAGCTCCGCGATTTACGTATAATTCGTCTGGAGCCGCAGTTCCTCAACATCAGCCACAACCATCAAGCTCAGCTGGTACTAGAGCACCTTTACTGAAAAATGCTGCAACTGCGCAGGTCCCACGAAGGCCTGGTGTTCATATGGGAAACACCGTGGCTGCTCCTGCGGTGACGCGGAATGACCACGTATATCCTCGAAGTCATTCTTCTGGACGTACTGCTCCTTCTTCTAATAACTACCGTCGAAGTGCATCTAGTGGACGACCAGCATCAGGGCAAGCGAAAGATGATGCAGATGACGGTCTCGAGGAATTCATTCAGGTCGACGATGAGCCCATCGTAGTTGATGCTTCCCAAAATCAGGATTTGGTACCAGCTTCGATGGGTGACCATGCACCGACCACATTTACTCAAGAAATGCAACCTCAATTACCGGATCAGAACACTGCTCCAGCTAGTGCTAAAGGATCTTCTGATTCGAGAGTTATTCCTTTTAATGAGCAGAGAGTCGAGAAGCGCTATGTTCAAGTAAGGGATGAGCATGGGTTTTTGCGACGTTGTCTGAGATTGCCAGACGGAACTCTTGTTGCTAAGAATCGCAAGACGAAGTCTTACTCGAGGATTTGTGTGCCACAGAGTGGAACCGAGGCCAGGTCGGCTGCAAGTCAAGAACATAATCGAACACCGACTGCTGGTGCCGTGTATGCAATACATTCTATGGGAAGAAAAGACGAAAAACGACCAATAAAGCAAACAGAGCAGCAGTGGAAACGCTCGCAAGCATCAGTGGCCCCATGGAGCCATACTGCTGCAGTGGTACCACAACGACAGGATCCTCCCAGACATGTGCCAAATGAGGTGAATTGTATACGTTTTCAGTTCCGACTGAGTCCTAAATTGTACCTCTACTTCAGCTTCCTTATGAGAACCGATCGGAACAGCCCACGAAAGGGAGGACTAAGCGGAAAGATGCCCTGTACTCGGACGACGACGATGACATTGTTGTGGTACGATTTCTTTCAACTTGCTTTCATAGCTGTCGTATAAAGAAATTATGAATAGTGATCAATCAAGTGCAACTCTAATAAAACTATATTTTTTAGATAAGTGAACGTCTGCAAGATAAGAAGGTTAGTTTTTTTTATTCATGTCAATGGTTTTTAACGATCACCAATTGTCTTATTCGTTCCACTTTTTAGCCCAGATCCCAGAGTCGTCGTTCACGGAAGTCTGTAAAGGAGCAGGATCCGGGTGTAGTTGTGGCTCGAAAAAGCAGATCTGTACGCAAATTCTGAATGTTTTTTTTGTATTATTAAATAAGCATCTTTTTCCATTTCAGCGTACACCAAAACAGTTGTCTCGGATTTGTGGAGTCCCACAAACTCCTAAGACTGATGAGCAACGCAGGGTAGGACATTATTCATGTTTTTCGAGCCCTTCCTATCAAATTTTTCTTTTGAAGATGTGAAGTTGCTTCGCTTCGATGCAGGAGCGATTGTGACTAGTTGATGTATTGCATAATTCTTCATAGAATGCCTGAACTCGTTTGAGCTACATTTGAATATTTCTAGGAATCACTTCGACGCCGATTAGCCAAGCAAGAAGAAGAGGATTCCGAGAACATAGTAGTTGATGTCCTCACAGAAGACCAAGAGCTAGCTAAGGAGATTGAAGAACTTGTCGCTTCCCTTCCTCCTCCCGATCCCTCTGATGTTGTGGAGCCGGTGGTCAATGAACGAAAGGTGAATAAATTTGCCGTTCTTCGCGCATGAATTGATGCTAGTAAAACTCCTTTATCATTGTTTCATCACATTTTAGAGGGCTGGGCGTCCACCCAAGAAATTCCGAGGGCGGATGGCGAGAGAAAAGCAAGCTATACGAGACGCAGAAATAGCCGAGAAGGTAGCAATCAAACATCGAGAGCTACCTGTGCTTGACCTGGCTCTGAAAGTGATAGAAGATCCATCAGTCGAACTACCTAATGAGGCTCCCATTGTCAGTTTGATCATTTTTGGTTTTTTCTTCATGTATGTCGCAATTTTCTCTGAGAGTGGCTTTTTTTCAGGTGTTTGATAACCTTGCAGCACTCGACACGAGCATGCTTCACGAGGTTGGCGAAGTGCTGAAGGAATTGGTAACCAAAGTCTCATTGAATGAACTGCGAAAGCCTAAAAGAGAGGTGAGCCCTACTTGATTTGATCTGACTTCCTACAGTGCAGCTTTATCTACCATGTTTCTTTTAGATTAAGTCACGCACACGACGCTGTTGGGAGCATTTGCCGGAACGTGTTCCGTCCAGAAGACAGGAATACCGCGCCCTGAAAGTTCCTGTTCAAGAGCGAGTAAGTGTGAAAGTATGAAAGCATATGTAGGTGTGCTAATCTGCCAGTATACGACGAGCGTCGTAAATATGGCGAGGAAGGATTCGGAACGAAACACGATAAAACAATACACATTATCTCCCTCGTAGGTGTGCAGTAGGCTAGGAAGAAGTACTTCTGGCCAAGGTTACTTCCGGCCCGTTGCTCGCGGAATCTGTTGGTACGCTTCGACATTCTTATTCGATATGTCACTTTTTTTAACGGATGGCGATATATTTGGCGTGGAAGAAGAGTTAAACGTCCATCTCACTCGTATGTTTTTCTCCAACACTCATGAAGTTCTGCAGTATTTGGGGTGAAATTTAATGTTGTCTGACAGAAAGCGCTTTTTCTGTCAGAAAAGAGGATTTGGTCACTTAAGGCTCTATGGAGATATCGCGGGGAGGTAGTGTTTCGCCGTTTTTCAGAGTGTGGTTTGGACACGAGTCCTCTCATCTCGGGTGTGGTTCGCTAGGGCATAATGCGTTTTCGCAGCGGGAAACTTTTTCGTTGCTTGAATCCCAGGTCCACGACTGATCGATGGTGGACTTCGGGTTCACGCTACGATAAAAGGGCTCTATCGCAATATACGAGGGCATTTCGTAGACGCCTATCCACATTTCGTTAACGTGTCTAAACGTTTACATATTTAAACGATTCAAGTAGTGGTTTGTAGTCCAGATAGAAGAGAACATGCCTTACGTAATGATAAGGTTGGACTTCGAAAAGATATGATTTTAAGGCGTATCGCAAAGTACAGGGGCACTGTGGTGGAAGTGTATTTCACACGGCGTGCGACGTTCTATTTCATTCAGAAGTAGGACTGAGCGTTAATTGGATAAGAAGAGAATTCAGGTTGCGTGAGCAATTTGTTCCATTTCCCGATGTTCCTACCTTCTCCTGGGCTTAGTCCTAGAGGATGCCTTGCATCTTGCGTTAGCGCTCAAAGGAATCCGAGTTTTAAAAATTAAAAAAAAAAAACAGCGGAATGCGTAGGAATGAAACCGCTGGCATTAGGTCAGATTAGATGTTTGATCACGTTACGAGCTTTAATCAGGAATCACCAAGTGTTATATATAACCACAGCTTGTCCAGAATGCGCTCGTCTAGATAAAATGCCCCCGGATATTGCGATGACACCGAAAAAAGTTTCGCATGTGAACAGCTGAAAAGCCGCTTTCTATCCTAGCGAACCACACCCTCATACTTCTGCCCTAGGTGGTGAGGTGAATGAAAGGTGTGCAATTCTTAGCCTTAGCCATGTTCAGCCTTTGAAAACGACGGTAACTGTCGAAACGTTGTTCATAATGAATTCTTCCACTAACAATCCCCCGTTGTTAAAAGTGAAGCTTACTCCTCTCAAGGCACCTCAACTGCAACACTCAAGATGTCTTTCAACAAAGCGTGGACTAATTTTCGAAAGAAATCCTGCGGCTTTTGAAGAGCACACGAAAATTTTGCGGGATATAACTCATAACAGAAATAACTTTATTGCGGTACCAAGTTAATATTTGTAGTTTTATCGTGCTTCATCCCAAATTGCACTTTCTGTGCCTTGTTTACCATATTTATGGCGGGCCATGTATATGAGTATGTCCTGTATTTCTCTGTTTCATACGTTTTCTCTTTTATAAGGATCCATCTTTTCAGAGTCCGCCTCCACCACCACTGAAATCCAAGTCGAGAGGTCGCGCTTACAATGTGAGCTCCTGTTTATCTTCCGTAGGCTCCCGTCATTATTTTTATTATCGAGAATAAATCATGATTCGCTCATTTACAGAAAAATCAACAAATAATTAGTGCTAACACGGCGCTACAGTATGATGGTGACACCTCCCTCGGCAGTCTTGATTCAGAGCCTACACCAGCAAAGGTACTTAATAGTTTTAATAGTGAGTACCGAGAGAGTCTCATGTGTCTGATTCTGAAGGATTTCGCCTCTTCGTCATCAACAACGCCACAGCCGGCGAAGGCAATTCCAACGCCACTTCAAAAGGTGCCACAATCCAATCAATCACAAAAAAGCCCTGAAAGACTTAGGACTGTGAGTTCTAATCTCAAAATCCAAGTGAACATCGCTTTTGTGTGTTGATATTTTTGTTAGTTGATATCTTCTTAATTCTCTTTTTCAAGGTCAATCCCTCCTTTACAAAGGCATAAAGCCCCTGTGCCGTCGAAACAGTCTGCATCAAACTCGTGGAATCACGATGTGAGTTGTTTACACACCGCTTCACTTGAGCCATTCCCGAATTTGTGGTCGTACACGTGCTGATTTTTTCTTCAGGTTCCTTGCGTGAGCTATGATGATGTGAATTTGAACGAGGAGGATCTGGTGGATATCAACGTCGACACGTTTTTCTCGTCGGCTGAGAATTTCGATTCGTCAGCGTCTGGCGATGAAACCGATACACCATCTCAGAACATACGGAAGAAATTCCGCGAATTTCTTGGTGAACCGGATAGCTCTGTTCCGTTATCTCCCACAAAAGTCGGCCATGTCAGCAAGGTTGTCGAGAGGGAGAAAGTCATCGAATGTGATTCTGGATCAGTGCCAAACACCTCTTCAGCGACTTCATCTGCGCGATTTCAACAAGGCCAGGAGAAAGGCGAGTTCAATGGCTCTGTCGAAGAATCGGCTGTGAGAACAACCCATCATCTATCGTTGGAGGGTGACAGTTTTTCTTTGAGTGCTAAACCAGCAGAAGGTCTTTCGCAGTCCAGTAATGTGCTGAATTCGTCGGTCGATGTATGCAATAAGGTCGAGACCATGCTCGATGTCATGGAGCTTTCGCTTCAAAGCAGTGAAGCCGTACCGGCATCAGTGGATGTGGATCTGGATATGAACACACTGCAAGAAGCTTTTGCTGGTGAAAATCTTAGCTCTACCCAGCAGTTTTCAAAACCCTTTATGGGATATCACGCTAACCGTGCCGCTGAATTGATTGCTGGTCCACTTGACATCGATGAACTCATGCTAGAGATAGAAGCTGAGTTTGGTGATCTGAACTATACGGAACGAGTTCCTTGCGAATATGATTCGACCGCTCCTCAGCAGTTTCCGCCTTTGAATCTTCAACCTGTCATGCGCGAACCAATTGAATACGCGGACACAGTGTGCTTCGAAGCCTGCCGAAAAGAACAACATTACTGTCATTCGGTGACTATCGCCATTCCTTGCACTGATGCATGTTGTCTATCTCTACCGGCTGAGGTATCCGTTGAATTAGTTGCTCCCGAAAAGGATGAACGATTGACGGACGACTGCCACGCGAGCATTACTCTGCCGGAGTACGGCTGCACGACTACAAAATGGCAGTGTTCGTTCCATACAGCAAAGAAGCGTTTTAGCAGAAATGCCGAACATTTCGAGGTGTCGCGGACGATGCGGTTGGTCGCTCAGGATAAAGCTGTGTTGAGCATTGCTGATTCGGAATCGGCATTTTCCCCGAAGGTCTCTGATCCTACAAGAAATCTGTCGACTGAGAATGAGTTCGAAAGAGATCATCTCTCTGCTGTGAAGACGATCCCGCTTCGAATGTTCGAGTCCTGCTCATTGAGTTGTACAGCGAACAATTCTACATTTAAAAAACCGAAAATTGAAGAAGATGTATCACAAACGGTGCCTTGCGTCAACACGGATTCTACTTCTTTGTCCGCTGTTGCAATCAGTTGTGCCCTAGTCCTTACAGGGCACACTGAAATAATTTCGGCGCTACTTGCTACGAAGAATTCCGACTCTGTCGATTCGCATGCAACGTGCTCTTCCCAAAAGCCATCCACTTCATTTGAGCGTGGCATTTCATCAACACTAGGCGATAGCTCTGACAGGCTGAGTACTGAAGAAGACATCGAGTGGAGGAATATCTCTCGCTTAAAACGAATCGATCTCCAGAAGTCCTATGCAAGATTGTCTCCTAGTGATCTCGCCCTTTTGAAACACGATGGTGTGCGATTACCAGTTAGTGGAGAAGAAGAGGGCGACACTCCAACAAAAGACGCTAAAATTATAGTGAAGACAGATCCCGAAATTGCGTCCGATGTTTTGGAAGATCTCGTAAATACAATAAATACAACTACTAGAAGCTTCACGGAAGTGGTCGAACCACAGAAGTTGTGCGTCATTCCACCAACAACGCCTTCTAAAGGTGAAAAGGAATTGGCGTTATTACGGCTTGAGACAGAAATCTCCAATGTTTTCAACGAACCGACGGAAATATGTAAAGACGCCTCCCCACGTAAAGCAGTGTTGAAAATTGAACCGTTGGAAGAAATTTCCACTGAAGAGGCTCAGAAAAAACTTTTGGAAGCTCCTTCACCACTGGCTGCATTGCACTTTGATCGAAAATTCACTGAAGAGTCTGTGCTGCTGGACGCTGAATTTCTAGCTGCAGGAAGCTCATCTGCAGCAACAGACTTCTCCGTGGAACATGCCATCACTGTTTCCAAGGAGCTGGAAAAGGTCTCATTGAAGGTCCTGACACCCATTCGCAGGAAGCACCGAAAACGACAACAAAAGAGGGCCGGCCAGAAGTTGACTGTAAGTGTTTGCCATGCTTTTTTCCTTTACTACGTATTCACTTCTTTTGTGACAGTCGTTTTACACAGGTGCACTACGATACAAGTGTTGTCACCGAAGGGAACAAAATTTCTGAAGTAAGTTTATTTAACAACGTAGTTTTTTAAACAGTTATCACTCTTAACGTGCATCGCTATGTATTAGTGTTGCTCAAGCCGTGTTATTTTTAGTACCTTCGCAGTGAGGATACTCTCGGCAGCGGGTTTTCCGAAGTTACGGTGGGATGATTGTGCTTAATCTGGCAATTGATAAAGAGTGGTTACACTATGTTTAAGCTGTACATTTCAACGAGTTTCTTTTTTAGTATCTAGAGCAATGCTATTTACAATCGCCAGATTTGTTCGGTATTGGAGACGGTACTCGCAAGAGAAAACGCAAGTCAAGGGTGAGTTTGTGAGCTTTCTTTTTCTTCTTGGAAAACCACGTTTTAGTAGAAACATCTTCTTAAGGTGGAGAGATCGCAAAGGCGTGCGACTGAAGATGCTAACCGGGAAGCAGAAAGCGAAGTCGCGCTTATTCATTCCGAGAACTCAGCAACACGCAAATACACTCTTTTGCAAAGTGATGTTAAACTGGCCTTGGATCGCTTGTGGAGAAGACAGGAGCCGAGACCTTGTCATGGACGGTTTAGTGCGCTGGTAGAACTCTGTAGAAGCAAGGTTATGGTTAGTTGTATTAACTTTCACCCTTACTTTTCTTTTTTTTCTAAGTAAATGTTCGTGTCCCAGTTTCCTGTTAAAGAATAATGTGTACGCTTTCGTGTATGCTTTGACCGAGATATTTTGCTCCTTTTATCGAAAGCCGCACCCGTACCATGATTTCTCCTATCTTTTTCGAGTATACCGGTGCACTCCAAAATACTATTGCACAGTTGCGGAATTAGGCAGGACGAGGCCTGCTCAACTTATGGAGCTTTGAGCTAAGAGTTTCACTGTACTGAGGAATTGTACTTTCAGAATCTTGGTATTGACCCGATACGCATCGACCAAGGCTTTCTGGCAACAGAGGTAAATTGGTTTCTGTTGTTAATGGTGCACCTACTTGACATCTAAATGCAAGTTAGAGTTGTGCAGTACTGGCGCTGGAGATAGTCTTGGATGCAGTCATTTTTCTTGTTTTCCATTCCCAACATCCATTTTTGATGAAGAGTTCGACCTTTTATTCACATTTTTTTTTCTTCAGAAAATTTGGTCGAGTCTAGGAAGAAGTTGGAGAGATACAACGAAAATGCCTTACCCACGTGAATCTGTAAGTTTCTGAGAATACTCTTGTATATTCATTTCTTCATCTAATTTAAATCCGTCTTCAAGACTGTCGCCATTATCGCATCAAGGCCTCGTAACCATCTTATTTCTGATTTCAATGTGAGTGACTCATTCTTGCAGTTTAAATTTTATGAGCCATACAACATCTTTTATTTTAGCTGACGATGATAAAGCCCATCAATCCAATCGTCCGGTGTGAAGCTGATATGGGTAAGCTAATGGTCGTAGCTGTAATTTTTAATTTTTTGTTGCCTTCTAGTTTTTTTTTAACATTTTCCTTTATGACGGAAGCTAGCTTCATTCCATTCCTTTTATTCGGCTACCGTACATTACCGTCATTAGTACTGCGTCATCACTGGTACTTCAAGCTGACGATGGCTATGACACACCGTTCGGGCTCCGGCAACTGCTTTCAAACCTTTCTATGAATGACTTCAGGTCCACTCCTGGCCTCGCTGCATCCTGTTTCACCTCTTCGTCTGTCGCGCCCTCGTGTTGAAGGTAGTTTGGAAAATGCATTTGCGCAGTACGACAGAGGTGTGAAGTGCATACTGGAACAAGTCAGTTGTGCAAGGACGATCATGGAGGTATGTTGCAGAGTTTGCATCGGCTTTTGACAAGAGCTCTAACATGTTTGAAATAATCCCTTTTTAGAACATTCCGGTCCACAACGCACTGGTCGCTTCACTTTCTGATGGATGCACAATTGTTCATCTTAGACATCCTTTATGAATTGTGGGAGTATACAGCAAGATCCGTGCAGCTGGCTGTGTTTAACACGTATCAGTGCTCTCTTTGGGAAAAACATCATCAAGTTGTACGTTGTTGTTTTGTCTGTCTTCTTTTTTTCTTCTGATATTTCCCTACTGCTTTTGCATGAATGTTGATCTTATCGGAGTTATATTTCAGTTTGATGCCCGAATGTATTGCCTTCTTTTCGAAATGAATGCAGCGGCAGCTCTTTCGTCTAAGATCGAGACTTGTTGCTCCTATATCAGGCGATTTGAAGAGTGGAATAGGTATGGTTTCAGAGAGCAGTCAGAATTTCTGCTTTTAAGTAATAGATGCAGTCAATTCAAGACTTGAACTTTAGGAAAACAAACAATTTCTCCACAGTGTACAATCACGTGTACGGGCTCGCCTTGTCATTGATCAAACTTGTACGTCTGGATATCTTTCTTGTTTTCTTTTAATCTTGTCTTACTTTTTTTTCTATTTGAATATTCTGTTTCATAAGTAGACAGTCTATTATAATTGATGTTGAATCATTTTTGTTAGGTCGCTATCCCGAACGCACTGAAACGTCTACAAGCCATGACACACTGGAACTCAAAAGCCCGTCCATCAAAATCGAGCGAAGAAATTTTTCTTGTCGATCTCATTCCATTCTTCCAAGTCGGCACCTGTCCGTTTACACCTGAGGGGCTAGATGTGAGTGCCTGCCTTTGAGTTCTCACTTATTGTAGGAAAGTTGTGATGAAATGTTTGTTTTACTAGGTGGAGAAGTTAGTGGACGGTAAGAAGTCGATGGTAACGCAAACACTAGAGCATTTGCTAAGTTTTGAAGCGGCACAGGATAACAATCTCGTGGATTCGTTTTGCTTTCTGTTTCCCTCGCACTCTGTTGTAGAGCTCTGTCAAGTTCAAATTCAAAAGGAAGTGTCAGCGTACTACAACAAACACCTGGACGTAAGCACCATTCATTGGTGATTTCTTTTGAAGTGCTTCATGCTCATATATTTCCAATACTTTTCTAGGATGTACTGCGTTTGGACCATCATCATCTGTCCATGCTTTCACCAATGGCTAGGGCTTACATTCTGTCACGTAATCACGAGGCTCGTGCCAAATCCCTAATGCGAAACAATATCATGAATCTCGACAAGCTCATTGCGAAGGTAACTATTTCAGGTTCTACTCTCTGCAGTATATTCTTGTGGAGTTTTCCCCTGATTGATTCAGCACCCTTTTTGTATTGTCGATAGTATCGCTCACGAAGGTGCTGAATCTGCGGAAAACATAAGGAGGAACTTTTTCTGAGGGCTGAGGATTGATTATGATTGGGAGCTTCTTCAGTAGAGGGAACTTTCTAATAATTTGTTAGGCTATAACACTTGAGAGGATCCATTGAGAATAGTACAGTGGTGTAGCAGAGTACCCAAGGTTGGGCTAACAAGTTGTGATAAATTGCTGGCGATATTAGCTCAGCGATCCTCAATATTGGGGAGAGCGTTACCACTAATAAGAAGTAGCTCGAATGTGAAAATAATGAAAATTTTCCCCGGGATGAGACATTAGGAGACTGTGTTGCCACTTTTGTTGTGGGGACGACTGGAATGTTCAGCAGAAATTTCGTAGTCGGTTTCCTGGATCATTATATAGTTTTGTTGCGCTGTTTTGGTGCTGTCTTATTTCTTAGAATATCTTATTGTAGCTGAACATCGCATTCGATGAGTTGTCGACGAACGTGGAAGAAATGAATCAGGCAGAATTCGACTATCCATGTGGTCAAGTGGTATTCGATTACGAAGGTGGTAAGGTAAGCGTGAGTATCAACAACGTCAACGCTGAGGATACTCGCGTGCCCACTCCAAATCTAATCGAAGAAGCTCGTCGTCTTATGGGTGATACTGTTAAGAACACGGTAGGCGTCCTACTCTCCTTCATTGAGTGGCAAGCTCGATCAGTTCCTGAAAATTTTGTTCAGGTGTTTCATCCAATCCCTCAAGTCAACAATGAGTTGTCATTGAAGCGTGATCGTGTGCAGAAGTCGGTTGACAAGGTGAAGAACTGGGTGATGACCATTCCGACCACGTACGAAGATGATGTCGACAATGATTTGGAATGTATGGATACATCCAATGAGCCCATGGAAGTCGTTTATCCGAGTAGCCCTGCTCGCATCACTGTGATTGATGATGAAGACGATGACGACGATCCAGCAGTGCACATTCCCAGAAAGAAGAGAAAGGGTCCGCAGAATGATACTGTAACAACCACCATCGCTGGACGCAAAATTCAATATAGTGTAAGTGGCCCTATTTGGAACGAAAGTTTTGTGAGCGATTTATCGTGTTCAAACTTCAGATCGATACGGAGCGGGGAGTGTTGAAGATGAAGACGATGGATTCTGCGTTGAACGATGCATCAACTGATGATCTGACCGCAACAAATACTTTTACCAGTGCATCGTTCAGTTCATTTGATCAAATTGAAACACTGAAGATCATACGCTCCACAGATGTAAGCACTATTTCCTGCGTTCAACGTGAGCATTCTCGTTCGTTCTATGGCTCAAATCTTCTTTTAGACTGGTGAACTCAACTGGTTAGCGATGATTGAGAACGCTCTGGAAGCGGCTCCTCCTCCGGAGACATTGCCAACCTTCCTACAAAAGAGCGAATCACTTGCATACCAGACCATTGATATGTACGTCATACTTTACTGGTTGATATGTATTTCTATCTTTAAAAGATACTATTTTTTTTAGTATGAAAGCTCATGAATATGCGAACCACTTTGTACGGGAGACCAACGATGACGGGGAATTCCTTGATCTCCGCAAAGAACAACGGGAGAAGATCCGCCAGTTCCAGCTTGTCGATTATTTTGAGCGTAGAAGAAATGCCCGGTATGCTCATTCTTGAAAATTTTGGTGTTTCAATGGTCCTATTTGCAAAGCCCATCTGATTATCATGGCGCGTATTAGGTTCGAAGCGATCAGCAGTGACAAATCGCTCGAAATGCCTCGGCCTGGTCCAGGGGAGCGTGACAAGATCCCATTGTATGCATTATGGTTGCGTGAGGTGTTGCAGTACGCGGAAATTGAAAAGAAGAGGTAATTTGGTGCTATTTCGTGCATTCCACAATTTAGAAGTTTCTCTTGTAGATTAACGCAGCTGAAGCCGGTCAATTTTGTTGGTCGCTGCCGAGCGGCTCGTTCTGAAATGATTCGGGAATTCGATGTTCCAACAAAACGAAAGAAGAGGTTGTTACGTGAACATTGACCTTTCAAACGTTGTCGCTGTTTGCTTTCACATTACTATGGATGGTTATTGTGCCTTTAGATCGGCATCGTCACCTCCTTGGCTTGGCCGCACAATATACGATCACTTTGGTGAATTCTTCTCTCTGGGAATGGCTCGACTCGAATACGAAGTTGCTGTAAGTGGTTGATATTAGCTTTAAGTCGGCCATTCTCGATCATCTTTTTCTAACATTTGTTGGTTTTACCCCTTTGACGATAGTGCGGATTGCACGTAACGTGCTAGTGGGACTACGCCCGCTTTTGGCGCGCCCGACCTTCGCTCAGCATTGTGCAAAATTGCCACTAAAATTGTTTTTTTTTCTATAAAATTTCTAACTTTAGCAATGCATAATTATAGCTACATTCGCAAAATTTCACATTATATAGGAAAACTGAAAGTTTGCAAGGGAAATCGTATTCAAAAGGATGGGAGGTAAAAACTGTTAAATTATATGTACATACAATGTGATTTTTGATACAGTTGAAATCCCTTCCTGTGTCTGAGAATCGTAAAGGAGACGAAGAAGCCCTGATTAGTAATTGTGCGTAGCCTAATAATGAAAAGACCCCTGTTAACATGCTGGCGGGCTATAGGCCATATTCTAAAGTTTTCCTTATGTTAACTCTTTTGAGCATTTCTCTGAACCCTGCTAAGCATAGATTTATGAAGCTTGCCATAAAACAGAGATGTTAAAAATGTTTTATATGAGCAATAAACAAAATTTGAGGTGGCACCCACCATTGGGTGCCATTGTCCCACGCGACGGACAGAGTGGCATCCACAGCTGGGTGCACTTGTCGCCAAAGGGTAAAGGCATAGCAGAATTGTGGAAGCTGTTCTGCAAATTTAGTGATTTTTCTTTGATTACAAAAACAGTCCTTTCTGGTAGTTCTCACACATAAGTGTTCGTCAAGAATTCTTGTCATTCATTTTGGAGTCTTCTATGTGTGGTTATTTCGTTGTCCGAAACTTTTTTTTGATATTCACCTCAGTTGAGCCTTTCGCTAGAACCATTTATGAGCCTTGGATTTCAGGGACGCAATCTGCGTGAAGAAGGTCAACTTGGCGCTCATGATGACACTATCACACACTACTTCGTGAGCCGAAATAACTCTCCGTCAACAGTGGTCGATCCGTTGGAATTATTAGAAAATCCGTATGCGTTTTTCCGCCCAACGCCATCCAAACGCAAACGAGCGGTGAGAGATTGTCTGCCTTAGATTTTAGTCTCCTGTGTAGAAATTCTTTCATTCAAATGAAGTGTCTCAGGCGACTTCTTCATTTTGCGTTTCCAGGTTTCGCCACTGCTGGAAAGTTCTTTGGTGAAGCGTGTGCACCTCTCGGATCCACCTGTGTTTGCTCCGTTTGCAACGTCAATGGATGAACCTGAAACGCTCTATCCACCATACTGTTCCGATTATGACTCTAGCGACGAAGATGACTAGTCATATTGGGACCATTCAAGAAATTTGTGAATGTGGATGCCATTTCCTAGAAAGAAAATTCACTGAAATAGGATGCACGACAGCGCTCTGTTTTACCGAGTGAGCGCTACTCAGGTTTGATAGCTGCGGTTATTGAACTGCTAAGTAAAGTCGACTGAGGAGCTGGACCTAGCTGTTTGGCTGAAAGCAAGTGGGTTGTTGTTGTGATTTAGTAACAATTAGATGCTGAGTACCACGCACCGTTTTTCGGACAGCAATTACGTCCTCAGTGGATTTTACGAAGCCAACCATCGCGTCATGAGTAACAATGACGACTTGTGTCCCTGCTTCAGCTAGCGGTTGCGGAAAGTCTCAACAATACCAACGAAGAATGTCGTTCAGCTTTTATTTTGAAGCCGATTCTATGTCAACTATTGCTGTGCTCTTCAATCTTTCATGAGAGAGGGGTGGAACCTTCCAATAAATTCTTACCCCTCGGTCAAGCACCATTAAGTTGTCAAATCGTATACTGACGATTTCTTCTCCTAGTTGCCCTGTATAATTGGCAAAGCAACGTTGGCGTAGTGGAGGCTTTTGTAATTCATCTCAAAAAGGCTTTAAGAGTGGTTGGGTTGCTGAACGACATTGATTCCGGTTAAGACCTTGATCGTTATGAAGCTGATCATGAGTCAGCTTCTCATGTAAAACTGTACAGGCGACTTCTCCATTTCTAATTTTCGCCTCATTTGTTTATTCTTCTATAACATCCTACTTTAAGAGCTTCTATTTTTATAACAGGGAAATCAATCAAGGTTATTGTGTGCTGGTTTATACATTTTTGTTGTATGTAGGTATTCCAAATTTGAAGATGATCTATACGAAATCTGAGGACGAGTTTATATATTAGCTCAAGAATTGTGTTTGAATTGCCATGTATATGAACGAGGTGTCTATGAATGCACAATATCGAAAGGACCGAGAGTGCTTTCCAGTGTAGCGTTCCTTGTTGTGCTTCGAAGCATCCTGTTCAGTAGGGTAAAATCTGTCTCATCGCCTTTTTGCCGTATTGTCACCTTGTAGATGTAATTCAGTGTTGTTCAATACACTTGATATATGTCTACCTTGGTGGCAGTATGGAAAGATAGTGAAGCCAAAGTGTAATTCTTTTAGCCGTCAGAAGCTAGTAGGCAGCTGTGTGGTGTAGCTTTCCGTTCACTTTCCATTTTTGTTTTGTATAGGACTCTAATCCAATGATCATTACAACAGCTCTAATAGTCCTATGTGTTGAATATGAACTCCCGGTGTAAGATGATTTCCGGTTTCCGGCCGTTATTAGGTCTTTCAGACTTTGATGCGATTTCCCTTCGATCATTACGCATTGGTTCTTTCATAACTGGTCATCTATAATATTGTTCTTTTTTGGTCATCATTTTATTTCATTGCTCGAATTTTGATGAGGGAGATTATGCATCACGGTTACTGTATCTCATTAGTGTGTCCATCGATCGCTTTTAAGTATCTTTCCTGTTGTAACTATATCCCTTCATTATTATCTCAGTCAGTGTGTACGTTTGTTCTGTGCTCTGTAAATTGTTATATTTTTAATCTTTTGTGTTCGTGTCTGATTTCGTTTACCACTGCTCTGGATTTTCATTTGTTTTTTTTGTATTCTCTCAATCTTCCAATACGTGTGCAGAATTCTAAATTAAGATGTGAACTTATGATGTTTTGTTGTAACATGGAAATATTTGGGTGTTGTAGACTATGGCCAAATACCTGTACTTGGTGCGACGGGTACTGTGAAAATCAGAACTAGGAAAGATGAAGATCACGCATATTTCTTCTAACCCATTGGCGACAATGCGATTTTTGCGTGTCTGCCACGTGGGACCACGCCTTTTTCAATATTTTCGAAAAATGCGTCATAATGCAGCAAACTACCGGCACCAAAAATATTGAATCTCAAAGCAGAAACTGTTGAGACTTTGCACGTCTCAAATTGTTGCCGATCGCTGCCAAAATGAGCGTAAATCTTTTCGTTTTGTCCAAGGTGGGTATTCGCAGGCCAGCCGGAAGGACTATTCTAAAATCCCTAAATTGGGTCGGATTCAGATCTTTTTTTTGTGAAAAGTTGTATCACTACTCTAGCTGATGGAAAACAAAAAGCCAGCCTTATACATTCGAAAATAGCAAGCTTTGCTTTGAAAAATCACTTTCAAGATCCCTTATGTAAAACATCAATTAGGAAAGATATGCAAGGACCATGATTACCATAAGTACTGCAACGCCTTCCTGATTAATATGCCACTTAAATGAATTTTGGAAATCCTGCGCAGAAGAATTATCTCATGCTGCGTCCCCACATCGAGCCGCAATGTCGCCAATGGGTTAAGGTTGTTATTGGTTGTGGAGGATAATAAGCTCGGAAATTTGGCATATACACTCCCTAGTAAAAGGAAGCTCAACCGCTAAGAATCCGGTCCTGTAAATTGCTTGCGTTGTCCGTATATCCACTACTTATTCCTACTGGGATTTTGATGAAGATCAGGAGCGTGGATCATCCGTGAGGTTGGTTAGGCACATGCTGTGCTGATACGTGGAAATTTAGCGACACTAGCTATCTAGCCTACTGATTGAAGAACGCAATGAAAATAGGTTCTAGAGGGTTTTGGAGGAGACGTGGAGGTTCTCTCTACGGCAGTGGCGAAAAAAGCAGGCCATGAAGACACAAAACAGGGCCCTTTTGCTTGACTGTTGATTTTCGTTCATGGTCGGTCAACGGCAGACAGCAAGCGTATGAACGAGTTTACCGCAAAGGGTTTGGTGGCACCATGCCAATCCATGCTCCAGTCGAGTTGCTCCAGTTGTGCCGCTGCTGGCAACACAGCTCGTCCAAATCACCAACTAAACTAGTGGGCGGATCGCTTTTGGGGCGGAGCGCTTTCGAAGTCCTGCTCAGCAACCAGCGCACCTTTCGTTGTGGAAGCGCCACATCTCGCTTCCTTGGCAGCCAAGTAACTGCTTCGTGTGGCGCACATGCTTTCCTGATGCGCTCTCCCTTTATCGTGATCGCTTCCTTTGAGGCATCTTCTAACAATTCCAAAATAATGGCAGGTTCTATTAGAACACGTTAATTTGGGAACAATTTCTAGCGTCCGTCGAAGATTCCTCAACATGGAAAAGTTACAGTGGGGATTCATCTTCAAAGGAAAATATTCAAGGTTCAAGAAGGACATAGGGTTATCACATTTCTATTTTTCGGCAGTATTGCCTAGATCACGGTCGACCATTGTCAACAAGTCCTCGAACGAGTGGGGTAGGTGAAGAGGGCGGGGGGGGGGATGGAGGGGGTGTCTTTTTTGGCCCAATGGAAGAGCGATGTGTCGTCGCAAGTGTCAGGATCAACAGTGAACAAGAATGGGAATAATCCGGCGCTGGCTATCGAGTTTATGAACATGTGAAGTCTTGATTAAAACATACAGTACTTACAGTGAACGAACTTACCATATGTTTCAGTACTTTTGAGAGAAAAACGTAGGTAGGCTCTGAATCTTCTTCAAACTTTGCACAAAATCATCTAAGGAAGGAGCTATGGTCGTTAGAATGTGACAGCGCGCCGTAGAGTACCTCCTTGCTATGCTCGAGTGGGAATCCTTAACGGGGCCTTTTTAGAAGAGGTCATGGCTCGTGAATGTGTCTCGGGATTTTTCCTCATTTTTTTTGGCAAAAATCCTCAACGAGGCAATTTTTGATATACTACAATCTTCGCGTCTATTTGGCAACGGTTTGAAAATCAACTTCTGTTCACAGCGCCCCATTAGATGGCTTCTGAAGGAAGTTATCGCTCCTAAGAGCGCAAAACTCATTTCTCGGCGCCTCGCCTGATCCTGCCACAGCCCCTTCCCCTTTGTGATCACGGCGATTTTGGTAAAGTGGAAGCATGGCATAAAGAAACAGACGATAAGGAATCGCTGGGAAGGAGTGAGGTCGGGAGTGGAGTCAATCGTATGTTAGGTCAAGTTCAGTGAGGGTCTTTTGTGATTTTTGAGGGGAGGGGTTATATGTAAGTTTAAAGGCAAAGTTCGGGCTCAGACCCACCTAATAAGCCCTTAAAGTGGCTAGAAGTGCATGGGACGCAACTGCAGGCGACTCGCCAAGTTCCCGCATCGAAATGCGTCACTAAGGCGCTAGGGGCCAAGGACTTTGACACGCTCCACCTGTTGCGACACGCTCCGCCCACCGCTCGATATTTTGTCTGCGTCGCAATGCTGATCTGCTATGCTCTCTCTTCTCGGATTTCTCTACCGCTCTCCGCGCTCACATTATCTCTCATCTCCCTGCCGGCCTTTTGAACTTCTCCGCAACGTAGAGCAAAAGGCTCGTATTTCCTGTGTATTTCACGATTTTTTTTTCTTTTTTCTCCATTGGAGGGGCCATGTAGGTGTACCCTTCCAAAGAGGCTTTTATGGCCGCGCTGATCTCTCAAATTGCGCAACGTTGAATCTGTCGGGGAGGGGTAGGTAATCCTATTTGAAGCACTTCCTCATCAGTATACATTTTCTGTAGCGTGGCTAAAAATGAATTGCCGGCTCGCTCATTTTAAAAACTGCCCATTCATTTTCTTCTTTGAATAATTTGTACAAGGTGCCTTCTCTTCAACAGCGCATCGCTTTGAAAGTCATGAGTGGGCAGCTCCTTTCAATTATTCGCCTCACTGCTCTCAGCTATGAGATGGCCGTGACAAACACTCGACTCAGTCTAATCACCGCTGTCATCGCCACACATGGACATGCAGCCGCAGCCTACGGTAGGTGTCATTCGGACTTCACATCTCTGTCTCCGTTGGTCTTTCCTGAAATCTGGCTTTATTTCCCGAAAAAAAAACTATCGATTTTTGGAATCGTTTCATTCATCAAATATTTTGCTGATAACTATTTAGTGGCATTCGTTTTGTGATCAACACGTCCTGTCATCGGACGGATTCTACGACTTCGTGGAAGACGAAGGTGACCGTCGTGCGGCTAACGTACGAGAACGTAAACGAATGTGCAGCATCAACGTCGCATTCATCGTAAATATTAGCTAGTTTTGACGAGCATACTGTAATTACTTAAAAAGGCTTGAACTACGAAGTTGTGTTTAGGAGTTGAGGAACTACATTCCGACGTTCCCATTCGAAAAACGGCTATCAAAGATCGACACGCTCAACTTGGCCATAGCCTACATTAATATGTTGGAAGATGTTTTGAGGTATTATAAATCGAGTTCTAATTATAAGGTGGCGCAATGGCTTTTACTAACGTATTGCAATTGCTCCATCCTTCCCAAACTACGTTGAAAACCATCCACCATGTCTTCTCCAGGCTCGTTTGAACTTATTAGATTTCTTACTGAAGAGAAATCCTTTGAAGACCTCATGCTCTCCTCACTTTTTTTAATGAATAATAATCGTAGCATCTGAGTTTTTGTCATGGTCAGTAATGACACAGTTTACTTTAGTACGTAGTTACTACTTAGTTAGTTATGACTTAGTTCCCGTCACCGGTTTCCTGTTCCATTCCGCACCATTTGTAATCTTCTTCTTTGAACTACTGGTTTGGGCCACCCCCTCCCCACCCTCACCTGAG